CCTTCCATTCTGAATGAGAGCCTTGCTGGATAAAGTATTCTTGGTTGCATGTTCTTCTCATTTAGGACCCTGAATATGTCCTGCCAGCCCTTTCTGGCCTGCCAGGTCTCTGTGGAGAGGTCTGCTGTTACCCTAATATTCCTCCCCATGAAAGTCAGGGACTTCTTGTCTCTTGCTGCTTTAAGGATCTTCTCTTTATCTTTGGAATTTGCAAGCTTCACTATTAGATGTCGAGGTGTTGAACGGTTTTTATTGATTTTAGGGGGGGATCTCTCTATTTCCTGGATCTGAATGCCTGTTTCCCTTCCCAGATTGGGAAAGTTTTCAGCTAGGATTTGTTCAAATACATATTCTGGCCCTCTGTCCCTTTCGGCGCCCTCGGGAACCCCAATTAAACGTAGGTTTTTCCTCCTTAGAGTGTCATTTATTTGCCTTAATCTGTCTTCATGGTTCTTTAATTGTTTATCTCTTTTTTCCTCAGTTTCCCTCCTTGCCATCAACTTGTCTTCTATGTCACTCACTCGTTCTTCCACCTCGTTAACCCTTGTCGTTAGGACTTCTAGTTTGGATTGCATCTCATTCAATTGATTTTTAATTTCTGCCTGATTGGATCTAAATTCTGCAGTCATGAAGTCTCGTGAGGCCTTAATGCTTTTTTCTAGAGCCACCAGTAGCTGTAGAATAGTGCTTCTGAATTGGCTTTCTGACATTGAAGTGTAATCCAGATTCTGTAACTCTGTGGGAGAGAGGGCTGTTTCTGATTCTTTCTTTTGAGGTGAGGTTTTCCTTCTAGTCATTTTGCTCAGTGCAGAGTGGCCAAAAACAAGTTGTATTGGAACACGGGGGAGTATCACTGGTCCGTCCAGCTGGTCTTCTGGGGGAGGGGCCTGCTGCGCTGATTTTCAGGTGTTAGCACTTGGGGGAGCTGCTCTGCCCCTGCCTGCTGCAGGGCTCAGCGGGGGTTGTTTACCCCGTGGGGCCCCAGGAGGAACAGCCGCAGTTGCTATGGCAACTCTGGAAGCCTGGATTCAGCCTCCGCAGGAACTACGGGGCTCTCGGTTCTCCGTCCGCAGGGCCTGGAGGCTCCGGGGCGGGGCCGCTGATCTGCTCAGCTCGGGGCAGGAGCGTCCTCGCTGTCCTGGGCCCTCCCGGCCTCTGCCTGTCCCGGGGGAGGCCGGATCCTGGGCTGTGTCCCGGCGCCCTGTGCCCGGGGCCTGCGCTGTGGGATTCGCGCTCCCGCCCCGCAGCCCCCTCCGCGGAGCCGCCGCCCGAGCCCCTCCGAGCTGCTCCGGTCGGTCCCCGCCGTGCGCGCTGCAGCCCTTAGGGAGCTCGGAGCACTCTCCCGGGGCGCAGGTGTCTGTTAGTGTCCCCGGGAGCCCGAGGGCATCCCCGCCCTCCTGGGTCCTGCTCCAACTCCCTGCGAGCCCCTTTCCGCCCGCCCGGGAAGGTTGGTGCAGCTCCTGCTCCTCCGGGACGGGGCTCTCCTGTCCTGGGGACACTCGCCCCGGCCTCAGCCCGGCTCCTCGCGGGCCCCTCCCCCTCGGAGGCCTTTTGTTCCTTTATTTCTTTTTCCCCGTCTTCCTACCTTGATAGAAGCGCGGACTCTTCTCACTGTAGCGTTCCAGCTGGTCTCTCTTTACATCTCAGGCTGAATTCGTAGATTTTCAGGATGGTTTGAAGGTTATCTAGGTAATTTGGTGGGGACAGGTGATTTGGGGACCCTGCTCTTCCGCCATCTTGCCCGATCAGAAAACTCAATCTTTTCAGGGCTTTGGACCTCTAAAGTCTTACTCCAGCCCCACACGGGATACTAGAATCACTCCCAGGAATTTAGAGTCCATCCATCTTGGGCAACTCCCAGGCAAATGAGAGCTTTTAAAAGATCTCAGGATGATTTTAAAGTGTATCCAGGGCAGCCCGGGTGGCTCAGCGGTTTAGCGCCGCCTTCAGCCCAGGGCGTGATCCTGGAGACCCGGGATCGAGTCCCACGTCGGGCTCCCTGCATGGAGCCTGCTTCTCCCTCTGCCTGTTTCTCTGCCTCTCTGCCTGCCTGCCTCTCTCTCTCTCTCTCTCTCTCTCTCTCTCTCTCTGTGTGTGTGTGTGTGTGTGTGTGTGTGCCTCATGAATAAATAAATAAAATCTTTTAAAAAAATAAAAATAAAAATAAAGTGGATCCAGAACTAAGAACCACTGACCTAGGGAAATAATGTTAGCTGGAGAAGAGGGGTCGGAGTAGGATCCTAGAATACTCCCAACATTAAGAGCAGTAATTCAAACTGTGGCTGCACCATAGAATCACCTTTAGAGTTTAAAACCTTTGAGTCTTTGAGTCCTACTGGAGAGATTTCTGATTTAATTGATTTAATTCTGGTCTTCAGAAACTTTAAAAGCTCCCCAGTGATTCTAATGTGTGTTCAAGGTTGAGGACCACTGACCAATAGAAGAGAAAGATATAATGAAGGAAATCTGGAAGGAAGAAACTAAGGTAGTACATTGAAGAACAGGAGAGTGCAGTGTCCCTGATGCAAAGAGGAGTTTCTAGAAGGAAGAAATAGTTTTTATCTTTTGAATGATAAAAATCTGTTTCATTCAATAAACATCCTGTTAGATTTGGGTGGGGTAGTGGTAATGCAAGCCAGATGGACATGGGCAAAGGAGTGAATGGTTGATGAAGAAATGGATACAGTGATTGTAGACAACTGTTAATAAAGTTTTAGTTATGAGGGAGAACAAAGAATTCAGGCAGTATCTATAGCCAGAATTGAGAACCATTTCCCAGATGATTTCCTACAGTTCCATGGACTGAGACCCAGTGTTCTCCTATAGAACTTTCTGCAACAATGGCAATGTTCTATATGTGCACTGTCCAATATGGAAGCCACTAGCCACTTGTGGCTATTGACTGCTTGAAATGTGGCTCAAGTGACTGATGAACTGAATTTTTAATTTTATTTTAAAATCAGCTGTCCATATAATATAACCTAATCATGGGAGTGACTATCCCATCATATTCACTAATCCTGGGGGTTTTGTAGGGCTTGTACATCAGAAGCCATCTTAAAATTCTGCGTAGTACGTTAAAAAAGAGTCCTTTATTCCAAGAGGGCTCCTGGCCTAGATTCTGGATGTGAAGGAAGAAAATCAGATTTTATGATTAATACTCTGAGAAGTGAGCTACTCTGCAAGATGATTTAGGAAGGAAAAAAAAAGATGATTTAGGAAATAAGACCTATTGCTCTGCTTTACCACCAGCCTCAGGCAAGCATCAGTGTTTCCTCAGCCCCCATATATCCATCCTTTCTCTCTTCTCTCTATTCCTTCATGGGTTATCACCCCCATTCCCAAAATCTCAGCCACCTCCAACTCACTGAAACCTCTCAAATCCTCAACTCACAACTCAATCTCTCTCCAGAGCTCCAGAGTCACGATTCATATACAACTGTTTAATGACCACCTTTGCCTACATGTCTCATAAATAGCCCAAACTCAAAATATCCAAAATGGAACTCATTCTCTTCCTCCCCAAATGTGTTCCTTCTTTCCTCTCCAAATCTGGGGCCATCTCTGACTCCTTTTCTCTTCTGTACCATTAAGTCTTTCAGCTTTACCTATGGTGCACCATTCAAATCTGTCTCCCTCTACCCCCATTGCTTCTCTTAGCCCAGTTCCTCACTACCTGAATTATTCTAACTACATCCTACTCAACTACCTCTAGTCCTGCTCCACTCATGCATTCTTCACTCTGCCAATAGCAATCCACTTAAAAGGCCAACATTATTGAACTGTTCCGCTGCCTGAAATTCATCAGTTTGTCCCACCACCAAGAGGATAACCAATTCAATATAAGACAAATTGACAGCTATGATTCAATAACTCCATAGACTACACATTGTGCTAGCTCTGAGAACACTGACCAAGACAGAGATAGTCCCTGTCCTCACAGAGCTTAGAGTCTGGCAACAGAGACACACAATTGAGTTGTGAAAGGGAAAGATGGCTATGGGAACGTGCAGCACAGAGAGCTCCCCTCACCTAAGCATCAAGCAAGGCCTCCCTGGGGCAGCGAGAGGACAGTGACACTTAAAGAATGAGTATGAGTTCATAAGATCAAGGGAAGGATGAAATTGTTCCAGGTGGAGAGAAGAACATGGGAAAGGATCTAAAATTGTGAAAGAACAGAACAGCATGGCTGGCACCTAGAGAGCAAGGGTTGAGGGATATACAATGAAATTGCAAAACCAGACAAGGACAAGCTCATGGGTGAACTAATACGTCATGCTAAGAATCCAGGGCATTATCCAAAGGGCAACAAACATGGGGATCCATTGAAGGGCTTTAAAGAGAAGAATGACATAATAAGGTTTGCTTTTCTTTTTTTTTTTTTAAGATTACATTGGATTGGATTGGATTGGATTGATGGATTGGACTGGACTGGATTAGACTGGATTGGATTAGATTGATTGGATTGACTAGGTCAAGACCCAAGGCAGAGAGACCAGTTGTGAGACCACAGTAATACTCCAGGTGAGATGATGAGGGCTTAGACTTGGAAGATAGCAAGGGCGATAGAAAGCAAATAAAGTCAAGATATATTTAAGAGGCAGAATGACAAGTCTTGGTGATTATATATGAAAGGTGACAGAGAAAGAGGAGAAAAGGATGGCTCTCAGGCTTAGGACCTGAACTACCAGATAGGTGGTAAAATCTAGACAAAGCAAGATGGTGGTAGAAGTTTTGGGGGTGGAAATATTGAATTTTGCTTCAGACATGGAAAGTTTGATAGCTGCAAGATATCCAAGTCAAGATGTAGGTTGGGCAGGAAGGTACAAGAGTCTAAGGCTCAGATGTGTACCTCTTCTACACAAAGGCATAACAGAAACCTTGCAAGTAAACTAAATCACCTAAAGAGAGCATGTAGAGTTTAAAAAGAGGTTCCAGGACTGAGTCTTGAGAACTGCTGATATTTAAAGATCATATAAAAGGCAAAAGGATTGGGGCACCTGAATGGCTCAGTCAGTTAAGTGTCAAACTCTTGATCTCAGCTCAAGTCTTGATCTCAGGGTCATGAGTTCAAGCCCCACTTTGGGCTCCACGCTGTATGGAGTCTACCTAAAAAAAAAAAAAAAAAAAAGCAAAAGTGAGGGGAAAAGAAACCTAAAGAGTATCCAGAATAGAATAGAAGGAAAATTAGAATATGATGACATAGAAGCCAAGAATGTCTTTCTAGAAGAGGGAAGTGGCCAATAGTTCCTAGACATCACATACATAGGTGATCATCTACATAATTGTTCGTTATGGCTCCTGCCTACTGCTTCCTCCTCAGTTCCTGCTATTTCCCAAAACCCATCCTTTATGCCCTGACACCAATCTCACCTAACTTCTCTTTGACCATGCAGTGTATTCTCAGGCATCCTATCCTTTTTTATATGCAGCTGTCTCTCACTGCAGGCCTCCCCCAACCCTGAGGCCCCACTCCCTCCCAGAGTCACCTAGTGAACATCATCATCCATCCTTAAATACCCTCAGCTGCTCAGGCGTCATCCACTCTTGGGCCTTCCTTGACCTTCTCTTCCCCAAACTGAACCAGTCAATATATTTCTCATTCTACTCTATTGGTTTACCTGGTATATAGTTCTATTATTGTGCTTATTCTAGTATATTGTAATAACATCCTTAATCTCTGAATCCTCTCCTTGACTGTGAGCTTCACGAGGACAAAAACAATGTGGTATTCTTCTTTCTTTAACTATACTTAACACAGTATCAGATACACGGCTTCAACAAATGTTTTTGGACCTTATTGTTGCCTAGATGTCACCTAAAGAATGTGAATGACCTTCATGGGGACAAAGAACCACAGGAATTGCTGACGTGAGCAGCAGGCAAAGACAACAGAATAATGATTGAATCAATAACACGTATTGATTGCTTTCATTTGTGCCAGACTGCTAAGCCCTTTCCAGGGCTCCGCCTCATTCAGGCTTCACCACACCTCACTTAATAGATGTGATTGGGATGCCTGGGTAGCTCAGTGGTTGAGCATCTGCCTTAGGCTCAAGTCGTGATCCCGGGATCCTGGCTTCTCTTTCTGCCTGTATCTCTGCCTCTCTATGTCTCTCATGAATAAGTAAATAAAATCTTAAAAAAAAAAAAGTGTGATCATTACCCTCACTTTACAGACAAGGAGATATGACTAGAGAAGTTAAGTCCACCTGTCCAAGGTCAGAGCCCGGTAAAAGGAGCCAGGTCTTGAATGGACCTGTCTGTCTGACTCCAGAGCCCTATACCCTTAAGTCTAGCTGGCATTTGAGCTTGGGGAAGACTCCCTGCTGACTCAAACTTAGAAAGTGGAGTAGTGCGATTCAGAAGTGGGACGTGGGCAGTAGGGTGCTGCTGCTCCCAGCACATCTTACATGGTCCAGCAGATAGTGGCTCTGCTTGGCAAGAAGCCATGAGGGACTAAAGTAAAATGTCTCCGAGCAGGCTGTTCATCGGTGTTCATTTGTCAAGGCCCTGAGGTCCCAGGAGCAGGCGGGAGGAGTGCTCCAGAGTAAGCCAATCGCTGCAATGTCAGACACTAAGTTGGGAGTGCAAGTGAAAGGTGAGGAAGCCAGAGTGGAAGGAACTAAGCCAAGCTGCCAGGTCTTGAGCAATTTTAACCCCAAGGCTCTGAGCCAAGAACGAGCCACAGTGCCTAAAATAACCACCCAAGAGAGTCTGGTCATTTTGCAATCTCTATCTCAATACTGACTTTCAGGTCAATGTAACTAGTATTGATTAAGGCCCTCTTACACATTATCACCATGAAAGGTACAAAGATCTGGTCTTCCACAGAGACAGGGCAAGCCCACAGGGAACAACGAGACAGTTGTATAAAACAGTACACGGTGCAGTGCCAATCTGTGCAGGATGAGCCACAGAAGCAGCTGAAATTCAAAGAAAAGAGAGAGCAGGGTGTGCTCCTGGCTTCTTGGAGCAGATGAATTGAAGGAAGGAAGACAGAGTGGGAAGAGAACAGCATTTCAGGGAGGAAGATGATTATAAGCAAAGGTGAGGTAGCCACAATGAGAATGGACCATTTATTTGGCCATGAGAAACCCATCTCTGGAGCACAGGGCTCTTGCTGGAATGGAATATAAAGTCAAATGAGTAGGGAAGAGTAGATCATAGAAGTCTCAGATTCCAAGAATACCGATCAACTAAAATCCAATGTGCAGAACCCAGGAGTCCACGTAGGCAATAAGAAATGATCCAGGCAATTTAGAATGAAAATTTAATTTTAGGAAGATTTATTTGGTGGTAGTATTTGAGATAGATTACAGAGGAGAAGACTAAAGGCAAAAAAAAAAAGAAAGAAGAAAGAAAGAAGAAAGAAAGAAAGAAAGAAAGAAAGAAAGAAAGAAAGAAAAAAGAAAGAAAGAAAGAAAGAAAAAAGAAGGAGGAGGAGAAAACAACAAAAGAGAAAAGAAAACTGTCAAAAAACAAAAACAATGGGACTCCTGGCTGGCGCAGTTGGTAAGGTGTGCAACTCTTGATCTTGGGGTCAGGAGTTCAAGCTCCATAATAGACACAGAGCCTACCTAGAGAAAAAGAAGGGAAGGGAGGGGAAGGGTAGGGAACGGAAGGGAAGCGGAAAACCTGATGGCTTCTTTGAGAATCCACTAAACGTCTGACTGCACAAACTTAATAAACATAGTCCCCGCCAGTCCAATGGGGAAGATATTTATTAATCCCATGGTCACCTATTAAGGATCTACTATATGCCAAGGATCATACAGGGCTCTGGGGACACAGTGAAAAACAAAACACAGTGCCAGCCCTCCCGAAGCTTATCCACCTCCAGTGATCATGGAAGACAAAACAAAACCAAAGCAACAGTTACATCAATATAAAGTCAGGGGCTAAGTGCTATGAAGAAAAATAAAGCAGGGCACTGAGTAGGGAATGGTGAGATAGCACAATCAGGAAAGGCCTCTCTAAGGAAATGCCAGAGTATTTCAAGCCCAGAAAAGAAGTAAAATGGAGATGCCACTGCCTAGCAATAGGGCTACGGAGAAGGTGACTTGGTTTGCAAGAGTACAGAGAATATGGGCAGTCTTATTTAAAGCGTGTTAAGCCTGTAATAAAAGCAGGAGATCCCCACAGAAATGTCTAGGCTCTAGAACTCTAATCTACTAAACCTCCCTCAAAGGTTAGACATGTAGATTTAAAAATCATCCATTGATATTTGAGAGATAAGAACCTCTCCAAAACTAGTGTACATGAAATGAAAGTAACTCAAGGACTGGATTTAAAAAAAAAAAAAAAAGATAAAAAATATACAAAAAAAAAAAGAAATGGAGCAAAATATTTTAAAATAAAGGATTCAGAAAATCAAAAACTTAAAAAAAAAAATAAAAAAGGAGTGTAAGATTTACAAATGATTTTATCCTATCTCCTATGATGGATGATCCTCTCCCTCCAGCCTCCTATAATACCAGGGGTGGGCATTGACTTTGGTAGGCGGCAAGGAGCTGTTAATAAAATAACAATACTAATAATTGAGGCTCATGAACAACCAATCATCTAAAAGGCCTCTATCCACTGTTCCTTCAAACTCCAAGGCACTGTTGTGGGGACAGCCCTATCTCTCTTCTACGCTCACCTCTAATACCACCTGCTGCCCCTCTGTGATTGTTTTTTCTGCAGATGGCTCTGGGTATTTGTTTTAATTTTAAAGTTTGGGAGAAAAGGATTCGGAAAGCAAAATAAATAAATTTTAAACTGGCCTTTCCTACCTTCCTAGAAATGGCACAATTAAATGTTAGGGATAGATTCAAGGGTAGGGGGACCAACTATCCCAGTTTGCCCAAAGCTGTCCCATTTTCTGCCCTGTAAGTCCTGCACTCGGGGAAACCCCCCAGCCCTAGACACACTGAAATGGCTGATCGCCCTATGGCTGGTCTGGCCTGTGTGATGCAACACAAGGCTTCCCATCTCTAAAGTGACATCAGCACAGTAAAGCATGTGCCTAGTTTCCCAAGCCCTACCTAAACCCCTACCCTAGAAGTTGGGTTCTCTTTCCACACATAGACAGAGGAGCTATCAGAAATTCCTAAATATCTAAAAAAAAAAAAGAAAGAAATTCCTAAATATAAGTTGACCCCAGATTCCTCAGCCTTCTGTTCCCACCATCTCCTACTCAGCCTCAGCTACCCCCTAAGCCAGAAACACCAGTTGCACTGGCAACCCCAATGCATACCCCCTGCTGCCCAGTCTGCCCAGCCCTGACCAGCAAGATGGTAGGGTCTGAGGGTCAAAGTCAGATTACTGAAGAGGGAAAGAGGGGAACTCACCCAAGGGAGTGATGTGCTCTACCCCAGCAAATCACAAAAAGGGGAACCCCAGATAAATTGCGATCTGCTGACCTTGGAAGACATGTGGTTTGCGTCTTTGAGTTATAGAAATACTGGAAATGCCTATGATGAGGTCAATTTCAGAGTTTTGGGTCCCAAGCTGGTCTGACTCATCTTCAGAGAAGGAACGAGGTGAAAGCCCTGATAGTGAGGTTCACATCACATACCCTTCCAGAAGCCACAGTGTTTGGCACACTCACACCCCTGGAGAAGGCTCACATATCATTTCTGCCAGATATTAGAGACTTCTCCACGATCATAAGGAATATTCAAAGAAAATGCCAAGAGTGATATTAATCTCAGCTTGGTCCCTTGTTGCAGAAATTTCCTGTCTGACAACATTAAAAGAACAATGAGCGGGGGACACCATCCTCTAGGAGACACCTCGATTTGGTCCTGTATCACCTTGACTGTTTGGGTGCAGACCAAAAGGCAGAACTTTGCAAAAGCTGGTTAACTTGCCCAATCAGCGTGCACGCACGGATCTTACTACCTTAACAGCTAAAAGCCAAGACAAAGGGTAGTTGGAATGGTTGTCTTTTTTAACCGAATTATCTGGGAAAACTGCCTCAGCGCCCCCCAAAAAGATTACTGTTAAAATTGGCAAGGACTCAAACATTTGATCTTTGAAACTGTCCCTTTCCCTGTCCCTCTCCACAGGGCTCAGGCGAACTGCGACAGGCTGTTGCAAGATTGCATCACTGACCTTTACAATTTTCTGGCCTGTCTGATTTCCCTCTCCTCCCCCTTTACTGTTTGCAGTCCTTTGACCCACTTACCTCTGCTTTTCCCCTCTTGCTTGCTCGCTAACTCTGGTAAATGGATAACCAAAGCTAAATCATTACACCCTCCACCCCGGGGTGATGATTTTCAATCTCAGCCAAAATGCATCTTTCTCTCCTCCCTTGCTTCCAAGAGTGGTTGGTTTTTGTTTTGTTTTGTTTTGTCTTACTTAACTAAGCTCTACACCTAAGCTGGGGCTTGAACTCAAGACCACGGGTCAAGAGTCACACGCTCTTCCAACTGAGCCAGCCAGGTGCCCCCCCCCCCAGAGTTCTCTCTTTAGCTCTTACCCAAACCCTCTACTCTCACCCTTCTGGCCCTGTTTGTATAAGCTGAGCCCGCAGGATGCTGGGGCACCCCCAGACCCAGGGAAGTGGCAAGTAACTATTGAGAACATGAACTAATCGCATTCTGGACCAGCTGAGGAAATGTATGGACAGCCCCCCCCCCCCCGCCCCCGCTTGCATCCTCACTGTGCCCTACCCCCCTCCCCCCGGGTGCACTTCTCAAGTAGGGGCAGGGATACTTTGGACTTGATGATACACAGAAGTACAAATACAATCAGAGGCATCACACACAGACACGTGCGTCAAAGGGCACCCTCAATAGATATTTCTCCATCCAGTGACCCTAGCAATGCAAGCACCTGTGACTAACACCAGTCGGGCCGGAAAGAATCACAAGCACAGCGGAGCTTGCAGACCTTGCTCTGCTCCCACCAGGATCCCTCCCGTCGCCCACCCCTCCCGACCCCCACACCTGTGCCAGGACGACACCCTTAGGAATAAAGACTAAGGATCTTCCCTCTCCCCTGCGATGTCCTCATTAGGGGCCCTAATCGGGACAGCGCCAGACCCTGTGCCGCCCATGCACAGCACTAAGGGAGAGTCACGTGGGACATGTCCCCACCGGTGCGCGCACCCCGCCCCCGGAATGCGGCCTCCTGCGGCCTGGCCGCCCCCCCCCCCGCACCCCCCTGCACCCCCCCGCCGCGGCTTCCCCTGCCCGGGGCGCCCAGCTCACGCGACCCGGGCGTGCACAGCTCGTGCCGCCTCCACCTGGGCCCTGTCCCGCCCCTCCTCTCCCCCTCCCCTTCCTCCTCCTCCTCCTCCTCCCGCGCGGGCCGCGGGCCAGGGGAGCCCGGGAGGCGGGCCTCGGAGGAAAGATATAAGCGGCCCCGGGGCACCGCCGAGGCGCCAGCTGCGAAGCCTGCACCTGGGAGAGCCGGGCCCCGAGGAGGACGAGGAGGAGGACGCGCCCCCACCCGCCCCCGGCTCGCGCTGCCCCTACGAGGTGAGCCCCGCGGGGGGATGGGGAGCGCGGCGGGTCCCGGGCGGCCCCCCTCCCTGCGCGACCTCGGGGGGGCCGGAGCCGTCCCTCCGGAGCTGACGGCCCGCTCCCCGCGCAGGTGCCCGGCAGGTGCCCCGCAGGCGCCCCGCAGGCGCCCCGCAGGCGCCCCGGGATGGAAACGGTGCAGGAGCTGATCCCGCTGGCCCAGGAGCTGGTGGCCCGGAGGCCGGGTCGGAAGCTGGTGAAGCTGTACGTGCTGGGCAGCGTGCTGGCCCTCCTGGGCGTGGTGATCGGCCTGGTGGGCACCGTGTGCGGCCCGTTCACGGCCGCCAGCCGCCGGCGGGACGAGGAGGCGTTGGTGGCCGAGCTGCGGGCAGTGCAGCCCCGGCTGCAGGGAGGCAAGTCGCGGGGGGCCGTGCCCTGCGGCCGCGCGCTCTCCTACCGGCCCCCCGCCTCCTAGGAGCGGAGAGCTCCCCACAGCGCGGGCAGGGCCCGAGACCTGCAGACCTGCGCCCCCCGGACCGAGCCCTGAGAAGCCACTGGCTTTCAGCCCTGAGCTGCCACGTGGAGCCACCAGGAGGAGGTTGCGAGTGATTTTGCTGCTGTGCAGCATTGCACGATGACATGTACAAAATCTATGACCTTTGGGCTATCTTGGGTGCATCTACCAGTTTGCACGAAGGTGGAAGGCGGGGAAATGCTTTTTATATTATTATATTATTATTACGACGACCACCCATTTTGCATTTTTGAAATAAAATTCGTTTTATAGTATGTCTCCGTATCTGATTCCTGAGGGGCACGTTTCCCTGGGAGGGAGAGCAGGGAGGGCGGGCATGAGGGCTAAGGGGGGGGGTCTTTGCTGAGCCCTGTGGGGAGAGCAGCTGCCTGACCCTCAAGAGTCACTGTTCCAGACTCTGGTATTCATATTACATGCTTAAAAGTATGTTGGGGAAAAAAAAGTATGTTGAGGGGATCCCTGGGTGGCTCAGCACTTTAGCACCTGCCTTTGGCCCAGGGTGTGATCCTGGAGACCCAGGATCAAGTCCCACATCCGGCTCCTGGCATGGAGCCTGCTTCTCCCTCCTCCTGTGTCTCTGCCTCTCTCTCTCTCTCTCTCTCTCTCTCTCTCTCTCTCTCTGTGTGTGTGTGTCTATCATAAATAAATAAATAAATAAATAAATAAATAAATAAATAAATAAATAAATAAATAAATATTTTTTAAAAAGAAGTATATTGAGGATTCGTTTTTGTTTCATGTTAGGGGTGGCAAGCGAGAAATTTTTATAAGTCCCACCGGGCTTAGCATTTTAAGATCAGAAGATAAATCAACTTCTGAGCTACAGTACACTAATAGCAGATAATGATTAATTCTAGGGCAGGAAATACTATTTGCCACCACCTCACACCTGGCCAGAGGCTCGTATGGCTGATACCTCTGTCTTTCTGTTCTCTTTTAACAAGAGAGAGAGGAAAGAAAAAGAAAACTCGATAGCTGGTAGGAAGAGAGAAGGCAAGTTCCCAATATTCCCAGTTGGACCTCTCGCTCTACCCAGCCTTCCTCCTCATCAACTCAAATCATAGTAAGAAGCTCTAGGTTAGAAGGAGAAAAAACTGGTTATCACCCATCTGGGTCCTCTTCCTCCAGGAATAGAGTATAATCTTTCTTGGGATCAAGGTCCTTATCATCCTCTTCCTCTTTAGTGTTCATAGAAATCATCAACTAGGTGGCTCAGTCTGTTAAGTGTCTGCCTTCCCCTCAGGTCATGATCCTAGCATCCTGGGATTGAGCCCTAGGTGGGGCTCTCTGCTCAGTGGAGGAGTCTGCCCTCCCTCTCCCAATCCCTTTCTTTGTGTTCTCTCTCTCTCTCTCTCTCTCTCTCTCTGTCAAACAAAATTAAAAAAAAAAAGAAAAGAAAAAAGAAATCATTAAGTCCTGAGCAAATAACAGGTTCTTAATAAATACTTGATTGCTCAAGTAATCTATTTATAAAGGTAGAGTACTGCTTCTCAATGGAAGGAGGGTCAATTTTGTCCCCCCCCCCCCCAGGAAACACTGAAAAATGTCTGGAGACATTTCTGGTTGTCTGGTAGGGGAAGTGGGGCACTCCCTACTAGCACCTATGAATAGAAGCCAAGGATGCTGCTAAACATCTTATAATGCACAGGACACCCACATGCACACACAACGAAGCACTCTCCAGTGCAAAATGTCAATAGGCCTGAAGTGGAGAAGCCCTGGCTTAAAAAAGGAAGGAAAGAGGGTTTGCTTAATAGTTTCAGAATCAAGGTTTCGAGATGGTCCCGGAAGACTGTGGTTGTTACCAGATGGAAGCCCCTCTCCCAACACTGGAAATCCCCACTCCCAAAAATGGTCCTTGGCCCTATCCTGTCTGGCAATTTTATCATCAATGTAGGACAAGTGACAGAAGGTATACATACCAATTCAGTTACTGATGCAGAGCTGAGATTGTAGAGTCAGAATTCGAAAGGACTCAACAGGTTGGAACCAAGCACTGAACTACCCAATTGAAACTGAACAGGGAAGAAGATATTGTACAGAATTAGTTCCAAAAATCCAGTTGCAGGGCCACAGAATTATGAAGGCTTATTCTGGCAGCAGATCATGTGAAAAAGACATAGGTAGTGGGACACCTGGGTGGCTCAGTGGTTGAGCATCTGCCTTCGGCTCAGGTCATGTTCCCATATGTACAATCAAATGTATGTAGTTTGACACTGTTAATTTTTTTAATGAATATAGTCAAAAGTTTGTTGACAAATAAATGAAGAATTCTGAGGAAAATTATAATGCTTTGTACAAATAAAGAACATTCTTGTTAAAAAAAAAGGGGGGGGGGGCTTCCCAGGTGGCTCGGTGGTTTAGTGCTGCCTTTGACCCAGGTTGTGATCCTGGAGACCTGGGATCGAGTCCCATGTCAGGCTCCTTGCATGGAGCCTGCTTCTCCCTCTGCCTGTGTCTCTGCCTCTCTCTCTCTTTCTCTTTCTCTTTCTCTGTATCTCTCATGAATAAATAAATAAAATCTAAAAAAAAAAAAAAAGAGTCCCACATCAGGCTCCTCACAGGGAGCCTGCTTCTCCCTCTGCCTTTGTCTCTGCCTCACTCTCTGTGTCTCTCAAGAATAAATAAATAAAATCTTAGAAAAAGAAAAAAACAGAAAGACCTACATGGTTTCCACTGATTACAAGGCTCAATATAAGCCAACAAGGGTCTGCTAAAAAAGCAAACAAACAAAAACCTAACATCTTATTAGTAGAAGGGAAATGTCCAGAAAAACGAATGAGGAGGTGGTCTTATTGTACTTTACAATCTGGTGGGTGGGAAACCAAGAAAGTTAAATGAGACTGGACAGCTTGGGTTTGCCTTCTGACTCCTCCATTTGTTGGCTTTAAGACCTTGGGCAAGTTACTTATCAACTCTCTGCAAATTAGATAAGTTCTTTCCCCATCTATAAAACAGTGCCTCCCTCATGGGGCGATTTTGCAAATCAAATGAGACAATGCATGTAAAGTGCTTACAGCAGTGCCTGGCAAACACTGCGCATTTAGTCAATGATAGTCGTTGTTATATTTCAAGAGAGACCTTGATGAACAAAAACGCACTCAGGTCAGAGGGACCTGGGCATATAAAAAATCCAGAAACCCTGTCACATACAGAACAATTGAATAGACCAGTAGAGAATACAATACAATCCTGTCATATAATAATTGCCTCCAGATAGTTGAAAGGGGGCCATATCGATCCAATGAAGTCCAATAATATAGACTTGTTTTACATGGCTTGAAAATGCAAAATGAAAAGTAGCAAATAGAAGTACAAGGAAGCGGTTCTTAGGTCATTAAGAAATCAGAGTAATGGAAAACATAAGGAGTTTCCTTGTGACGTATAGTAAGCTCCTTATGACTAAAAGCATGCAAGCAGACGGGGCACCTGGGTGGCTCAGTCAGTTAAGCATCTGCCTTCTGCTCAGGTTGTGATCCCAGGGTCCTGGGATCCAGCCCGGCTTGGGGATGGGGATGGGGAAGGGTCCTGGGATCCAGCCCTGCTTGGGGATGGGGGATGTGGGCTGGGGAAGGGGGGGGTCCCTGCTCAGCAGGGAGCCTCTCTCTCTCTCTCTCTCTCTCTCTCTTAAAAAAAAAAAAGCATGCAAGCAAGAGTTTGGAAATCATCTGCCAGTGACGATATAAATTGGAGAGGAGATTTCTGAACTTGGAGGGAGATTAGTTATATGACCTCTGAGGTCTCACCCAATTAATACCATGCTAAGATTCTTTTTAGAACAAACACCAAATAGGAGATATAGTTCCTATTCCAGCCTGCTTCTCTCAACCCATCCCCACCATCCACACCCTCTATGTTTCCAATGCCTCTTCCTTCTTTCTCTCAGCATGTTGACAAATATTTTCCTTCTTGTTCTCACTATTAAAAACTATTAACCAGGGGATCCCTGGGTGGCTCAGTGGTTTAGCACCCGCCTTTGGCCTGGGGCGTGATCCTGGAGACCTGGGATCAAGTCCCGTGTTGGGCTCCCTGCGTGGAGCCTGCTTCTCCCTCTGCCTCTCTCTGTCTTTCATAAATAAATAAAATCTTTAAAAAATAAAAAAAAAACTATTAACTATTAAAAATAAAGAATTTACATGTTAACTAACTAGAATTTTAAAAAATGATGATGAATTTAATTCCAATAATGAAGTATTTCCTGATTAAGTTTATCTAAAGCAATGCTTTTTGCCTCTTAGAAAATACCTTAACCTAGTGGTTGAACCTAATGGTTCTCAAACTTTGTCATAGTGAAACACTTATTAGTTACCTCATTCTTTACAAAACACCACAAAGCTCTGATCCATTAGTATAGGTAAATACGTAATTTTGTATTATATCAGATTTCAACCATTATGTTCTAATGAAAACAGATAGTTGGTATCAATTGTGAGAATATTAAAGAGTTGCCACATTCTTGAAGATTTTATTTATTTATTCAGGAGAGACACAGAGAGGCAGAGACCTAGGCAGAGGGAGGAGCAGGCCCCCTGCGGGGAACCAGATCAGGACACCATCCCAGGACCTTGGGATCACGACCTGAGCCAAAGGCAGACACTCAACCAGTGAGCCCCCCAGGTGCCCCAGTTACCACATTCTTAGGACAAGCTTGATTGTTCTATAATCAGGGTATCCAGAACCAGTTTAAACTCATTGGTTCAATCAATGACAACTCGCCTCAGTTAACACATTTTTATAAGCCAACCAGTCAGTGATTGCACCTCACCTCTAAGGGTCAACCAACCAGGAACTAACTCACGACATAAATACATTTCAGAGTGCCAGGCAGTCAACAAATAAATATGCTTCTACAGGTGATTCAGCACACTTACGTCTGGGAAAGTATGCCAATCTCTGAATTTGGGGTTTCCAAAAACCAAAGTATGCTTACTAGGTTCATTGTACCCAAACTCTATTTATCCTTCATATCTGCTACCAACTAAGTCAATTCCAATGATAATCTGAACTCCAGTGGTTTCAATGAGTTCTCACCACGTCTATGATTTGTAACCAAGTAGGTGTTTGTACGAAATCATCAGTCTTTGTACAAAGTAATTAGATATTTTAGTTTATAGGTATACATGCTGGTAAATAATTATACCTAAGCCTTTGTATAAGGTCATCAGACATTTTATTTAGGAGGTATACTATTGAGTAATTAGACATAGGTCTCATAATTCATTAGACCTTTTGTTTTGGAGGCACACCATTTGAT